CACCTGTTGTCCTCCCCTCATGTTGTCCCCTCCCTCATGTTGTCCTCCCCCTGTGTCCCCCCCTCATGTTGTCCTCCCCTGTGTCCCCCCCTCATGTTGTCCTCCCCTGTGCCCCCCTCATGTTGTCCTCCCTCTGTGTCCCCCCTCATGTTGTCCTCCCCCTGGGTCCCCCCTCATGTTGTCCCCTCCCCCTCATGTTGTCCTCCCCTGTGTCCCCCCTCATGTTGTCCTCCCCTGTGTCCCCCCTCATGTTGTCCTCCCCCTGGGTCCCCCCCTCATGTTGTCCTCCCTTGTGTCCCCCCCTCATGTTGTCCTCCCTCTGTGTCCCCTTCATGTTGTCCTCCCCCTGTGTCCCCCCTCATGTTGTCCTCCCCCTGGGTCCCCCCTCATGTTGTCCTCCCCTCATGTTGTCCTCCCCTGTGTCCCCCCTCATGTTGTCCTCCCCTGTGTCCCCCCTCATGTTGTCCTCCCCCTGGGTCCCCCCCTCATGTTGTCCTCCCCCTGGGTCCCCCCCTCATGTTGTCCTCCCTTGTGTCCCCCCCTCATGTTGTCCTCCCCTGTGTCCCCCCTCATGTTGTCCTCCCCCTGGGTCCCCCCTCATGTTGTCCTCCCCCTGTGTCCCCCCTCATGTTGTCCTCCCCCTGTGCCCCCCTCATGTTGTCCTCCCCCTGTGCCCCCCTCATGTTGTCCTCCCCCTGGGTCCCCCCTCATGTTGTCCTCCCCTGTGTCCCCCCTCATGTTGTCCTCCCCCTGTGCCCCCCTCATGTTGTCCTCCCCCTGGGTCCCCCCTCATGTTGTCCTCCCCTGTGTCCCCTCCCCTGTGTCCTCCCCTGTGTTGTCCTCCCTTGTGTCCCCCCTCATGTTGTCCTCCCCTGTGTCCCCCCTCATGTTGTCCTCCCCCTGGGTCCCCCCTCATGTTGTCCTCCCCTCATGTTGTCCTCCCCTGTGTCCTCCCCTCATGTTGTCCTCCCCTGTGTCCTCCCCTCATGTTGTCCTCCCCTGTGTCCCCCTCATGTTGTCCTCCCCTGTCACTAGAAGACCGTCTAGAAATCGTCTAGAGACCGTCTAGAAAAAAGACCGTCTAGAATACATTTTGGCTGTTCACTTCAGTATCTTATACGTTGGGATCATATCGCCTCAAGATCTTTACTCGTGTACGTATGTATGTATGTACACATGTTCGAGTAGCCAGGTGTGGGATATATATATATATATATATATATATATATATATATATATATATATATATATATATATATATATATATATATATATATATATATATATATATATATGTGTATATATATATATATATATATTTATATATATATATATATATATATATATGTGTGTGTGTGTATATAATATGATTACAGTAGAAATAATAAATGGAGGGTTGTGGACGATGGTTGGCAGGTGTGTGGGATAAGCCACTTGTTTAACGTGGTAATTTAGGAGTGTAGGAGTGGGCGCTGGTCGGGTCTGAGTTTGATGCTTGAATGTCTTTCCTCGTGGACATGTATCATAAAGTCATACCACGGGGGCACGTGGGCAGGTGGGCATGTGAGTGTAGCAGACTGAATAGCCCACCATGTGCTGGTCGTGTAATAATTATAAGATGTGCGTATATTGTATTTGTAAATAACCTGTTGTTTTAAGGTGAGGTGACAGGTCTGTTGTGGGGCCAGGATACTTGGTCTTTGCACGGATATTCCTGCGCGGTCCCAAAGTCTCGGGCTGTAGGAATTAGAGGGGCTGGGACTGTGTTGGGGTGGGGCTAGGAGTGGCTGTGGTGGGGAGTGGGTGTTGGGCAGGTAAGAAGGAGATGCAGGTCAGGTGAGACAGCAGGAGGGGGCAAGTAAGGTCAGTGGAGGGGAGCAGGTCTGGTTTATGAGTGCATGACAGGACGAGAGAATAATTATCATACCCTCCCCCCTTCCTCTCCCCCGCCCCGCCCCCCTTCAGGGCAGAGCGGGGTCGCCAAATGGAAGGTGTTGGGTAGCATCAGGTGGTGTTTAATAGCCGTCTGTCTTGCCCAGGTGATGGATTGTGTTTTATTTTTTTTTGTGTGTATGAAGGTAATTCGATTGTGGTCAAAGTTCCCCGGGGCTTCCACTGCCCGTTGACCGGAGGTAGCCCGCCCGTTTGCCATTGATGATGCCGCAGCGTCTGGAGTCGTACGCCAGACCAAGTCGTCCGTCACTGCAGCTTAGCGCAGCTTGGGATGGCTCCCAACAGTCAACCTCCTGCTCTCTCTCTCTCTCTCGCTCCTTCACATGTAAATATCCACGGCTGTATTTCTCACGCTCTTTTCACTCTAGTCCTAGAAAAAAAATTCGCACACAGTTGTCAGTGGAGTTTATGGCGCGCGTCGAATGGCAGATATTGTTTTCAACCAATTGTTGGAAAGCTATAAAATGGGTGGCGGTGGACTTGGCGGGAGATGGACTGTCCCGCCTGGCTGGCCGCCCCGCCCTCCAGCGGGCGGGAGGCCGCCACACAACTGCCCGCTGCTACACACACACACACTTCCCTGTGACGTGTGCTGCCCTCGGTAGGCCTACTCAACGATTTAGGTAAATAAGCGCTAGATATTTGGTATTGGTATTCCTGGACATAAAAAGATTAACTTTGCAAAGATTAAAATGATTATCCAATTAGAAACAGGCCAACCAATCACGATAAATTGTCATAAGGAAACATTCGTTTGTCCCAAAGTAATGGCTTAACCGTCGTTGAAAATTCTGCCCTATTTTCTATTATAAAGGAATTTTCTTCAAAATTAATTACTAGACTTGAGAAGCGGCCGGGTGGGAGTCCCTGGCAGGAGAGGCCGCACTGGCCCCTCGTCCTGTACCTTACACCACAAAAAACTTAAGAAATAATCCATATATAGGTGTTAAACGGTCCCTCTGGCCGCAGGAATGCCGGTGATTAGGGACATGTCCATTATAAATTATGCCTGGCTGAGTTACTACACAAAATTCCATCTTTGTCGGTCTTCGATGTCCAGTTAATAAATACATTTTAAGACGAGGCCGGAGTTACAAAATGTGGGGGTATAGGTTCTTATTTATTTTCTCTGCTGCCCGCCACCCTATTTTCGCTCCTGTGACCATAAGGCCGAGGGGTCATATGGAGTGATCGATGCATCTCCAGCCACCTTCTGCCAATAACAGGGCGATGTTGCCATATTTCACCCTAACGTCCCACGTTTCAGACGGATCTGCGCTGAGAGAAATGCGGAAATATCTCCTATATCCAGTATGGAAGACGTGGGTGTGTACTCGCCATTGATGTTATTGGATGAGTTTATGTCGTGAGGTTATTGATCCCGTTCCCTGTCTTGGGACACCAATGTCTACTGAAGCCATTTTTTAGGATGGCTCTCACTGAGGGGTTGCCGATGTCGCTTATTTCACGTGCGACCTGTAAGTCATTCGGGAGTCATGAGAGCGCTGTAAGCGGGTAAACAAAGGCAGAGTGTGATGCAAAACTGCCCCCCCCCTCCCTCTCTCTCTCTTTCTCACACACACTAAACGGCCACACGAGACGAGGAAAAACGTGGTTGTTGTTACTAGGCTTCAGCTGGCGACGTGTGGCAACTATTCTCTCTCTCTCTCTCTCTCTCTCTCTCTCTCTCTCTCTCTCTCTCTCTCTCTCTCTCTCTCTCTCTCTCTCTCTCTCTCTCTCTCTCTCTCTCTCTTTCTGTCTCTCTCTCTCTTTCTGTCTCTCTTTCTGTCTCTCCCTCTTTCTGTCTCCCCCCCCATCTCTCTCTCTCTCTCTCTCTCTCTCTCTCTCTCTCTCTCTCTCTCTCTCTCTCTCTCTCTCTCTCTCTCTCTCTCTCTCTCTCTCTTTCTCTCTTCTGTCTCACTCTGTCTCTTTCTCTCTCTCTCCCTCAAGCCACGTGACTGAGCCCCTGCCTGGCCCCAGGCCGGACTCGGGGAGTAGAACTCCCGAATCCCACTCCAGACAGGTATGCTCCAGGCTGGTACACTGAATTAGAGACATTCTTAGAATGACTAAGAAATTAACTCTACTGTTATGAGGTCACTTCACGTCTTGGCCCGTTATTCACCGTTCTAAAAAAAAAAACATTCCCGTTCTGGAGAGGCCCCCCTCCAAAAAAAAAGACAATTAAACCAGGTGGCGTTGTTAATGGCGGTGGTTTTTAATCATAGTTGAGTAGTGTTTTACGGTGTAAACCAGTGGGGCGATGCTTGTGATATATGCTGGGTCTCCTTGTTACGGTTCAGATTTATTGGCATCGCCAGATTGGACAGAGAGTGATGGACGTCGCGGCGGCCGTATCACCTGGCTGCGTCTGCTATTAATTTGAGTTTTTGTGTATCTGGAAAGAGATTTGGACGGGGCTGTGACGGTGAAACTTGCTTTGAACCCCCCTGCCATCTTTTGGGGGAGGGGCTGCCATCTCTTGGGGGAGGGGCTGCCATCTCTTGGGGGAGGGGCTGCCATCTCTTAGGGGAGGGGGGCTGCCATCTCTTGGGGGAGGGGGGCTGCCATCTCTTGGGGGCTGCCATCTCATGGGGGAGGGGGCTTCACTCTCTTGGGGGAGGGGGAAAGTTCCATCCCCAGGTTGTGGGTATAAAACAGACTGTTCTTGACTGACATTGACTTAAAAGCTCTAATTATTTGTGGTTTTGTTCCAACTTTACACCTTGGGATTATCTAATCATTCTGTTATTGTAACATTCATTCTTGTGCTAATATTATCATTACAGGAAGCCGGAGAGGCGGAGTAGGTTACTATTTTTGCACTTGTTGATGTCTTATAATACAGGACTTGTGTGGTCATCTACATGTTTCAATTTATTCTGTATTCCTTAGTGTAAATGAGTGCATTGTGTTGTGGGGTGATGACCCCGAGGAGTGGCCAGTGTGCGTTGGTCTTGTGCAAGTCGGGCAAGCATGGCAGGTGTGTTTTTATTAAAGTAGTGATGTTGACGTAAATAGTGACGGCGTGTTTCTCCCCCGTACAGGTCAGGTGTCCTTGGAGAGGCGGGCCGCCAGCTTAGGCCGACTCACAGAAAACGGTGGTGCTCAGTGCTGGGCCGAGAGCGCGCCAAAACGGAGGCAGCGCCCGCCGAGAGCGCACGTGTGCCGCTCGCTTCCTCAGTTGCTCCTGGTCTTCTGTAACACGTGCACTCGCCAGGTCCTAGTGATGATCCGGCCAAGAGCAGTCCGAGGCCGGCTCCCCGTGGGGCGTAGCTAGCCATGGCGAGCGGGTCGCACCATTGCAAGGACTGCGGCTTGTACTTTGAGAGCGCGCGGTCCCTCGAAGTGCACCTTCAGTATCACAAGGAAAACCTCATGAACATGTGGATGGGCAGTGATGAGCGTGGACGTGAGGGTGGTGCGCCGGCACCCTCACCTGTGCAAGGTGATCTGACGCCCTTGGGAGTGAGCAGCAGTGAGGGGGGTTTAGTGAGCAGTTCAGTGCAGAGTATTAATGCTGGAGTCGGCTCCAGCTCCTTCAGTGTGCCATCACCAATGCAGTACGAGTACAAGATGTCTCCAGGTATGCAGTCTCCGCAGGGAGGTGTTGTGCCTCAGGGCCCTCCCTCAGGGCACGGCCTCACGGTCGGCTTCCCTCAGCAGTCGCCCGGAGGCTTCTATCCAGACTTCGGCCAGCAGCATCTACACCAACCACAACAGTTTGGTGGGTACCAGATAGGAGGGTTTCTCAATGGTAGCTTCGATGACGGTTTCTACGGACGGGGGGCAAACACTGCCCCAAGGTTTCACCCCTACATGGGTCGGTCTCCGGCGCCGACGCCCTCTCCTGGCAACCCTCACACAGATATCAAGGAGGAGATGCCGACAGCAGACACGCCGGAGATCCTCGACCTGGACTCGCAGAAGGTGCTGGGCAGCAGTGGCATCCCACAGCAATCTCAGCCACAGCAGCCGGGGCCGCTGCCGCCCATGTGGCGACCTCATGAGCAATTTCCTTCTCCGAGCGGGTTGTCCATGAGTGGCCTCCCGCCCCTACCGCAGGCGGGCTACCCTGGGCCTCCTGCTCCTCCCCAGCACATCCCCGGACTGGGTGGAGGAGGCGGCGGCAGCTCCTACCTCTCGGGCGGCGGGGGCAGCATGGGCGGCTACCACCCGCAGGGGATGACCACCACGCCCCAAGCCATGAGCAGCCCCAGCAGCATGTCCAGTAGCATGCCCAGCAGCATGTCTAGCAGCATGTCCAGCAGCATGTTTGGTGCTCCGCCACAGTCCCCGCGAGAGTCTGCTCCTCCTTCAGAATTCGCTTCCAACGTCAAAAGGCCGAAAAGCTTCAAATGTGAAGACTGCAATAAATGGTTCACGAGTCACGGGCACCTCAAGCGGCACTACAACACCACGCTACACAAGAACATGACCAAGAACAACAGTAACAACGCCAACAGGTCCACGCCGGACCCCACCAGGCCGCCCATACTCTCCCCGGGCGCCAAGAGCATAGGGGAAGCCTCCAACCTCTCCAGCCAGGACGAGGAGAGCAACCTGTCTGCCGCAGACGCCTTGGATACGCCGCCGCCCCCTCCCATGCAGCAGCCTCCGCCTGCATACAACCCACCAACATCCTTATCAGGGTACCAGCCTCCAGGCGTCCCAGGGCCCTCACAGGGGCTCCATCCTGCGCAACAGTTCGGTCAAGCACAACACTACCTAGGGGGAGAACAGCCCCCGACGGCACCCACGCTATACCACGGCCACTTCAGCACCAACCCGACGGGGTTTGGTAGTCAACCTCCAGCTTCTATGGGGGGTGGTCCCCCTTTTTACCCCGGCAGCGGGAACAACAGTTTCGGTGGTTATCAGTCGCAGGGGGGCCTCCAGGGCCCGGGGTTTCATTCCATGAATGATTTCCCCGGGCCGAGCCTGGATGGCTTTAGCAGTTTCAAGCTTGAGAGTGAGCACGGAGCGAGCGCCATGTCTCGCTCCCCGGAGCCAGCAGGGGGCGACACCGGGTCCGAGGCTTCCATGGACTCCAGCGAGTCCGGCGGCACAAGCACAAGTGTCAGCACCGAGGGTTCCTTCAGGTGCCAGGACTGCGGCAAGTTGTTCAACCGCATGTGTTACTTGACGCAACACCGGACAACCTACCACGAGGGTGAGAAGCCTTTCAAGTGCGGCACTTGTGGCAAACGTTTTCCTGACGAGCTGACGTTCAACGACCACCAGAGCAAGCACGCGGGAGACAAGCCCTACAAGTGTGAAGTGTGTCCCAAGCAGTTCAACCACAAGACTGACCTGCGCCGCCACATGTGCCTCCACACCGGAGAAAAACCCTTCACGTGTGAGCAGTGCGGTAAAGGGTTCATCAGGAAGGACCACATGCTCAAGCACTTCCAGACGCACCGCAAGAAAGCCATGGCGGCCGCTGCTTCCGCCACCCCCTCCCACCCTCCCCAGGGGCCTCCCATGAGCCATGGTCCACCAGGCTTCCCGGGACACCACCCGGGCCACCGCCCAGGTGTCCCACACGGTGCCATGGCCCACCCTGGTCACGGTCCTCCTGGCCACCCAGGCCACCCTCCACACGTGGTGGCTCCTCAAGTTTACTGATGATGGCCTAGCTGTGGCCCCGGAGTGGGCGGCGTGTACCCCTGTGGGTGACCTGGCCGCACACGCCCGCGCCCGTCTTCCGCCGGTGCTGAGTTCCTGTGGCCGCCACGCCCCGCATCTACCTCACGCGGCTTCCGCCGCCCTGTGATACCGCGCCAACATTCCATGCCGCGGGCGGCCGCCCATGTGCCATACTGACCCCGCCGCCCCTCGGGTGGCAAGGGTCGCCCCGGCTCGGCCCCGTGCCTCGCGTTCCGTGCCTGAGGCCTCCATTACCTCGCATCATGTCCTCATCTTACTGTGAAACACACCCGCTCAGAGGCTCGTGGTCGCCAGTGTGCAGGGAAGTGACGATACCTGTATCAGTATTGTTGTGGCCGCCGCCCGGGTGAGCTGACCCGCGCGACCCTCACCTCCTACCTCACACACCCCCCCCCCTCACCCCAACAACTATCTCCATTTCCAAACTGTACACGATGGACGGTAGAGCGACGGTCTTGCTTCGTGCAGGTCGGCGTTCAATCCCCGACCGTCCAAGTGGTTGGGTACCACTCCTTCCCCCAATCCCATCCCAAATCCTTATCCTGACCCCTTCCAAGTGCTATATATGGTAGTAAAGGCTTGGCGATTTCCCCTGAAAATTCCCTCCCCCAACCATCACACCTTCTGCCACTTGCCTCTGATCAAGCATCAGACTCAACCAATTGTTTCATCATTCATCTCTCGCACCGACTTACCTGTCTCGTGCTCCCTTCCCCTCCCCTGCCCTCCCCAGAGACCATTCCCTCCGCTGACCTGACGGTGGGGACCTCGCCTTGTCCGGGGTCTGGTGTGACCCCCACCAACCACCGCCTACAGAGAGTGAAGGTGTCGAGAGGTGGCGTCTTAGAGGCTTGGTGGGGAAGTGATGGTGGTGGAGCAACAACCCGGGCGCCACCAGCTAGAACGGTTACACATACAATACCTCAGAATACTCGGTATACCTCAGCGTGTGTCAAAACTTATGCACAAAACCTAACAGGGTTAGTAATATGCAAGTGATAATATGCTACTTGGTGTCATGGTGACGTGAAAGTGATCTTGGTGTAACGGTTCAGCCCGCCTCTTTCGCTCGACCAGATTGTGAAGCCATTTTGGCTCTTTATTATTTTTACATGATGATTAGCGGTCTGTACCCCCTTGGTGTCTGTGTCAACGCGCCAACAAACACGCCCCACCCCCCTACTCTCTCCTCCCCCCTCATAATTTGATTTTAATATTATCAATTTGTTATGAATTATCAATTTCATCCAATTGTTTCGATTGTATTTAAGTTCGTTTGGTGGTCTAGATGGCCAGCAGACGAGCCTATTTTATTGGTCTACCTCATTGGCCTGAAATTAATGAAAGACAATTATGTTATTAGACTTTTATCCCCTTAGTTGGTGTCTAAGGCTGTTATCCAGTTGTGTTGAGGGTGCCGAGGGCCATCTTGTATATCATTACCGTTAATGTTATAATAATGAAACTCAAATTTAGACCTTAGTGATATTGACTTTAGACATTAATAATGCCATTTGTGTTACGGATTTTAGATTTCTTTTTAAGAATAAAGACTAGTTTTTGTACTTGGCTTTTAGCTTAACCTTCCAGTAAGGTGGTGGCGCCACCTGTGTGTGGGGGCTGCTGGCCACCTGTGTGTGGGGGCTGCTGGCCACCTGTGTGTGGGGGCTGCTGGCCACCTGTGTGTGGGGGCTGCTGGCCACCTGTGTGTGGGGGCTGCTGGCCACCTGTGTGTGGGGGCTGCTGGCCACCTGTGTGTGGGGGCTGCTGGCCACCTGTGTGTGGGGGCTGCTGGCCACCTGTGTGTGGGGGCTGCTGGCCACCTGTGTGTGGGGGCTGCTGGCCACCTCGCATGACCATCATTCCCATCATCCATTACTGATCATTTACCTCTCAAAAAACAATAAACTTTGTGATAGTAATGACTTTTTTATTATCGAACATGTTGACCATTGTAAAACATTCAATTACATGTGCCTCTTCACGACGAGGCAAGAAACTAGCATGATTGATGGAGGTATTATCCAAGACTGAGCACAGTTTATAGCAGCATGTCTTAACCAGAGGGGTCACCGTCTCCTGTGACCCCTGACAGGGGTCAAGAAACTAGCATGATTGATGGAGGTATTATCCAAGACTGAGCACAGTTTATAGCAGCATGTCTTAACCAGAGGGGTCACCGTCTCCTGTGACCCCTGACAGGGGTAAGGAGTCTTACAGTCTCTCACACTCAGTAACTTAACACCACATAAAAAGGAGACTCCTAAATAATCTACATAACCAGATGAAAAGAAATATATCAGTGTTTACACTTACAGGTGGATCTGATGATGGTTGAGACGTGGGTGTATAACTTTTGCATAGTTGCAAGCACATTAATGAATGTTGCTGGAGTATTTAAAAGGACCATTCAAAGCATTGAAATAGGGCTGAGAATTTTTATCTTGGGTTTTATGCATTGGCACTAGCCTAATTACTTTACTTCATCGTCACTAATTGATGATGTGCAAGTCACTGCTCTAAATGATGAAGCCTAAGATCTTAAATATACTGTATATATAAATATTTTGAAATTGTTAAATATATTTCATAAACAATGCAATTGCTGAATAATGTGTTTAAGCAGTTTAATAGTGAGAGTCGAAGAGGAAACTCATCAGATGTTATGTACGCTATAAATATATAATGTACATAATAGCCAGAATAAACAGACCACTTGGCCTGTGTAAGGCCCATTTGCCTAATAAGCTAACTTTTCCTGAAGTTATATATCATTTTAATTATTTTCTTATGAAATGATAAAGCTTTCCATCACATATCCGAGTTAATTATTTTTAAATTTTAGTTAAAAATAACGTGAAAATATGACCATACCTAACCTAACATAAACTAATATAACTATATAACTAATGTCAGTAATTCATTCTCTTTATATAACAATATTAATTTAAATAAACCAATTGGAAACAGTTTTTAAAATATATATATATATATATATATATATATATATATATATATATATATATATATATTGTATCTAGTAGCCAGAACGTCGTACTTGGCCTACTATTCAAGGCCCAATTTGCTTTATAAGCCAAGTTTTCCTGAATTTATATATTGATTTTTTTCTTATTAAATGATAAATCTACCCATTTCCTTATGTATAAGTTATTTTGTTTAAATTTGAGTTAAAACTAACGTAGACATGACCGAACCTAAACTAACACAACTACGTCAGTAATTTATGTTCTTAATATAATATAATAATAATAATTCAAATAAACTAATTGGAAATAAAGAAAATCACTGCCTATTAGGCAAAACGGGCCTTGCATAGTAGGCCGAGAAGTGCATTCTGGCTACTATGTGCGCATTGTATATATCAGAATGTCTCACTCCCTCTGCTATGAATGTGAATGCTATGTTCACAATTATGACACTCCAATCACTAACGTGATATATCAATCGATATATATGTGTGATGGGGTCACCATCACCCCTGTGAGGGGGTCACCATCACCCCTGTGAGGGGGTCACCATCACCCCCGTCAGGGGGTCACCAAGTGCATTAGACTTTTTGTTTATTGTGATATATATTTTGAGGACAATTAATTGTGCCTGACTTCTAACAAGTTAATTATTGGGAGGTTACTTGAAGCAATAAGAGGAAATGCCATTTGTAATCATTCAGAAAAGAAATATTGACTGATGGAACGAATTAAAAAGTATTATTATTTTTTGTTAGAATTTACTCTATATTACTGCGTGAAGAATTAGTGTGTTTTTCCTCGTGTACAAGTGTTAACTGTTAAGAGGGTGTGTGGCATGGCGCAGTTAACACATGATGTTAACATCATGTGTTAACCGGCCCGTCTAATTACCCAAAGCTTCCTGCCATTACATAAGTAATGAAGAAATATCATATATTTACTCGCCATAATGTTGGTGCTGAATGTATAACATGAAAAAAAAAACATTTTTACACTGAAATAATATAATTTTATAACGAAAATTAGACGAAACTAAATGACAGCTGACACCACAGGAAGTCGACGATCCAAGCGACAATGTTGAGGCTTTGGGTAATTAGATGGACCCAATTTTCTTATGAAATGATATTATTTCAGAGTAAAAATAAGTTTTTTTTCCATGTTCTATGTTCAGCAGCAGCCTAATAGTGAGTAAAGATATCATAGTTCGTCATTGTTAACGGAATGGCGGGAAGCTTTGGGTAATTATATGGACTCGTGTGTTAACTTACAACCTGTAAGATCCAGGTAAGAACACATGGACCAGGTAAGAACACGTGGACCAGGTAAGAACACATGGACCAGGTAAGAACACATGGACCAGGTAAGAACACATGGACCAGGTAAGAACACGTGGACCAGGTAAGAACACATGGACCAGGTAAGAACACATGGACCAGGTAAGAACACATGGACCACGTAAGAACACATGGACCAGGTAAGAACACATGGACCACGTAAGAACACATGGACCACGTAAGAACACATGGACCACGTAAGAACACATGGACCAGGTAAGAACACGTGGACCAGGTAAGAACACATGGACCACGTAAGAACACATGCACCAGGTAAGAACACATGGACCAGGTAAGAACACATGGACCAGGTAAGAACACATGCACCAGGTAAGAACACATGGACCAGGTAAGAACACATGCACCAGGTAAGAACACATGGACCAGGTAAGAACACGAGGAGCTGTGAGGTGATGATACACGCGGGACCTCCATCTCTTCGCCCTAACCATTATTAACATTTAAAGACGAGTTTGTACAAGATGGAAGAAAACTGTAATGAAAACTTGAGATTAAAGAATGTTTGGTGTGAGGAAGACCTTGATAAGCCTTAAGTCCTAATGTGGCTGCGTGGTGTTCCAAGTTGATAAGTGGAAATATGTTCAGATTTATATATAAAAAAAATGGGCAAATGAAGATGAAGCTGAATAACATATTGGAAGGTTACTTTTATAAACAAATTTGCCCTAGTGACCTGTAAATGCCGTAAACAATGAATGAACTTGAATAACCATATCAATTATCAATTAAATATTTGGTTATGCCACTATAGCTAAAAAAAACTGTTACCACTTTGGAATATGAATCAACAGTGAGCTACTTGAAGTAATAAGAGGAAATGCCATTTATAATTATTTAGAAAAGAAATATTCATTGATTGATGGAACGAATTAAAAAGTATTTTTTTGTTTTTTAGAATTTACTCTATATGCTCAAAGGTGTTTGGACCTGTGGAGTTCCATGTCTGAAGGAACTCTGTGTAGCTCACAGAGCGAGGTCTGTGAGCTACACACACCTCGCTCTGTGAGCTACACACACCTCGCTCTGTGAGCTACACACACCTCGCTCTGTGAGCTACACACACCTCGCTCTGTGAGCTACACACACCTCGCTCTGTGAGCTACACACACCTCGCTCTGTGAGCTACACACACCTCGCTCTGTGAGCTACACACACCTCGCTCTGTGAGCTACACACACCTCGCTCTGTGAGCTACACACACCTCGCTCTGTGAGCTTCACACACCTCGCTCTGTGAGCTACACACACCTCGCTCTGTGAGCTACACACACCTCGCTCTGTGAGCTACACACACCTCGCTCTGTGAGCTACACACACACCTCGCTCTGTGAGCTACACACACCTCGCTCTGTGAGCCACACACACCTCGCTCTGTGAGCTACACACACCTCGCTCTGTGAGCTACACACACCTCGCTCTGTGAGCCACACACACCTCGCTCTGTGAGCTACACACACCTCGCTCTGTGAGCTACACACACCTCGCTCTGTGAGCTACACACACCTCGCTCTGTGAGCTACACACACCTCGCTCTGTGAGCTACACACACCTCGCTCTGTGAGCCACACACACCTCGCTCTGTGAGCTACACACACCTCGCTCTGTGAGCTACACACACCTCGCTCTGTGAGCTACACACACCTCGCTCTGTGAGCTACACACACCTCGCTCTGTGAGCTACACACACCTCGCTCTGTGAGCTACACACACCTCGCTCTGTGAGCTACACACACCTCGCTCTGTGAGCTACACACACCTCGCTCTGTGAGCCACACACACCTCGCTCTGTGAGCTACACACACCTCGCTCTGTGAGCTACACACACCTCGCTCTGTGAGCTACACACACCTCGCTCTGTGAGCCACACATACCTCGCTCTGTGAGCCACACACACACCTCGCTCAGAGAATGTCGTGTACACATTTAACAACTGTTGAGCTGTTCTCTCTGCAACATGGACCATTATCTCAGACGTTTGGGGCGTCTTTCTTACCAAACGCTGGTTCAGAGTGCCTCCTCTCCCCCCCCCTAGTTGTGTAGTTAACTGACGCGAATATTCACGACGTAAATATGTGAATGGTGGCTTCCTACAGTCAGGAAAGTGTGTGGTGGGTGCTGACTTGTGTCTCATCTGTACAGGTGTGTAGAGGCAGCAGGTATGTTGGGTACAGGTTTGTAGAGGAAGCAGATATGTAGGGTACAGGTGTGTAGAGGCAGC